CACCAGGCTTATTTAGTGGGGAGGGGGTGCAGGAATGGCCCACTGACCTCTGGCCCGACAGAGAGCACAAACACCTTGACAGACTGCAAGGACATTTGGGAGCAAAAGTCGCAGTGAAAAAATGCACCACACTCACAACTCAGGGTGGCTCAGGGACCGAACTACCTGGGTATCTAGTGGCCATCAACAGTTCACGAGGACTTGGTGCCCCATAATCGCTCTCAACTGCTGGAAGGAGCGTCTGGAAGAGCCCCCCACCCTCTGCGAGGGCCACCCCCAGGGCTAATCCTCAGCGGAGAAAGACCACACTCCCCATGCCAGTCCCCGACCTCTGAATCCAGCCCCCCCAGTTTTGCCTCAGCGTTGAAAGCAGCTGCCTGCCTAAGAGGGCAGAACTCCGGGAATTGCACCCGTCTCTTCTTCCCCAAAGCAGCAGAGAGCAGAACAGAAACAAGGGGGCGGGGGGCATGGATGCCCAGAGCCGTGTCCTCGTCCGCGTGGGCAGCAACGGGAGAGCACCCAGCCTGAGAGGGAGAGAGCCTTCAGTCTGCAGGGACAACCAGAGTCCCTCACTGGGGAGAGTGCAATTACGGGGGGGGGGGGGAATTACGGGGGGGGGGGGGGACCCCTCCCCCCTTCCCTTCCAAAGGGCCAGGATCTGACCATAAGGAGCCACTAGCTTTGTGGAGCAGGCACACTGGGCTTCACAGGCAACGCGGGAGTGGGGGGAAGCCCAGGCTGCTTCCAAATCTTGGGTGAGGCAGAAGTTCCCCCTCCCCCCCACCACCAAAGTCCTCCTGCCAGGCCTTGGGGAGATCAGGGCGGCTCTGGGCTGCAGGACGGAAGGGGCTGGTGCAGAGGGAGTTCCGGGATGCCTGGCAGGACCCAGTGCTGAAGCAGAGACAGACCAGCCTCTGTTTGGGGCACAATGGGCCCGTTTTGCACAACAACGGCCCCTTCCGGGAGCTGCGGGGGGGGGGGGGGCGGCTCTCAGACAATACCCTCCCCTGGGCCAGGAGGAAAGGGGCTGAGGAGGCATTGGGTGGGATTGACGCTGGGGCAAAGGCCTCGGTTCTGCAAGCCCCCAGCTTCTCCCCACTCACAGGCCGCCGATTCAAATGGGGGTGGGAGCCGCGCTTCCATCCCTGCTGTCTCCCTTATTGTTGCAGCAGGAGCAATTATGTCTCTTGCTTTTAACTGCACCCCCTTCAAGGGGGGGGGGCGCTGTGTGACTTAAACAAGTTAGGACCAGCAAAAGGCAAAGCGGAGGAGGCCCCTCCCTCTGCGCCAGCCCCCTCCCCCCTCCCCCCACGCTAGATCCCGGGAGAACTTTCCATGGAACAATCGCGATCGAGCAACCGATGGATTGAGAGATCCCGAGGGATCCCGAATGTAAATCCTTCACTCTCGAAGTTCATCGGCGTTTAGCCCTGAAGGATTCGGGATCTCCTGCGACCCCTCGAGACGGCTCGATTCGCGGCGGAGCTTTGGGCGCAAAGTGGATGAAAAGTTCGGAAAAGGAGCCGCAGCCACAACCCCTCCAAGGGCAGGCTCGGCCTGGAATTGAACTCGGGCCGCCTCCCCGCTCGACGGGCGTCCAGCGAAGGAAGGGGAGAGCAGCGGGCGAAGGCGGGAGGGGGAGGAAAAGCCCCCAGGGACTCCCGCCCAACCGCTGCCCTCCCGGGTCACGTACCTGGCCCACGAGAGCGGCAGCGCTTCCCGCCTCAAGCCAGCCGAGGCCCCGCGGGGAGAGAAGGAGCCGAAGGTGGGACGAAGGGGCCTCCGGAGGGGCTCGGCTCCCGGGGAGGGGCAGCCAGGACGAAGAGGATGCGCCTCGGGCTTACCTTCGCTCAAGACCTGGCCCGCCGTCAGCCGCCCGTCGGGCACCGCGAAGCCGGAGCGCTGCGAGACGAAGCCGGAGCGACACGGGGGCAACCAGGCGGCCAGGCGGCGGTCCACCTGCGCGGGAGAGAATGGGCGGCCTCAGGCCTGCGCCCCCTCCCCCCCCGGGTGCCACTGAGCCCCGCGAGAGCCGGGCGGCGTCGAACCGACAAGGCGGCGGCGGCGGGAAGGAGGGTCCGGGGAGGCGCTCACCTGGAGGAGGACGAGGAAGGCCAGGGGCAGGAGGCGCGCAGCCCTCCGCCAGCCCATCGCCGCCGTCGAGGAGAGGGACGCCCGGGGGGGGGGGGGGGGGCAGCAGCAGCAGCAGCAGCCCCTCTCGCGCCCCCGCTCGCGGAATGGGCTCCGCCTGCCCTGCCAGGCCTTTAAAGGCGCCGCGCCAGGTGAGGCTCTGCGGGCGGGGCTCCAGCTGGCCCGCCCCCCGCCGCCGCCCCCTCCCCTCTCCCCTTCCTCCAGGGCGCAGGGATCGGCCGGGCCTGCCAGGCGAAGCGCTCGCCGGAGGGGTCCGCCCGCTGAAGCTGAGCTCCGAGAGCCCCTCCGCTCCTTTGGTCGAGCCCGACGGAGGCGATTCCCGCGGTCTCGGGGCCCATCAGCCGCTCGCGGCAAAGCCGGTCCCCGACCGAAAGGAGGCAAGAGCGGCCAAGCCCCGCAGCTGTGGTCGTAGATCGGGTGGGGTCCCCTTTTCGGCACCCCAGGGCCGCTCCGCCTTTTGGCCCCCAGCCGGCCTCTTCCCGCAACCTCGGCGGCGCGGCGAGGAGACGAAGGGCAGGGAGCGGAGGGGGCAGCAGGCAGGGCAACGGCGAGACCCCCGAGAGGCGGGGAGCCGCGGAGCGTCGCATGCCTTGCCGAAGGTCCTCCCCATTTCACAGCCTGCCCAGCTGGTTCCCCCACAACCAGTCCGGTTCTGGCCACCAAGGAAGCGGGCGGCGCCCACTTCTGCCCCTTGTGCCGAAGTGGCTCCCTTGGTGGGTTTCCACCAACCCTGAAACAGGAGCCGCTGCCCCATCAAGCGGGGCAGGTGTGGGGGCAGCTGAGGTTCTTTCAGGGAATCTGGTGGGGGTGAAGGTGTGACTTTTTTGCACCCCATTAGGTAATGGGCAGGAGGCAGGACCTAAACAACTAAAAACTACAATTAGTATTTTAAAAATGGGAACGTCAGAGATATGTTAAATGCCATTTTGATATATTAATGTATAAAACATATTAAACTTTTCAGTCACGGAGCTAAAACAATCCTGGAGAGTGAAAAACACTGTTTTATGTTATTTGCAATGCATTTGAAGTCTATGAGTGAATGTATATCCTGCCTGCCTTGTTTGTACAAAAGGATTTACAGTCCGGACCAAAAAAAAAGTGTGCTTGTGGGTGCACAGACACAAGCAAGTCTTCCCCTTGCCCTTCTGGGTCGTCCCCCCCCCCACTCCTCCCTCAGCCCAGCACCCCCAAGCTTCTCTGGGAGCCCCAAATCGGACTTCCCAGGGACCTACCACAAGGCATTTTCTCAGGTGCTGCTTGAAATCCCCTCAGGGTGGAGCCTGACTCTTCAGAGGCACTTGGGGAAGGGGGCTGTTGTGGGAAAGAGGCCTGAATTGCATAATGGTGTGTGCAAAGCTGCGGCTCCCTAGAGGCCCTGGAAAGGAGCGAAGAGGATCCAGATTACATTCGCAAAGGCCAGTCAGGTGGGATGGGGGGCGGGGCAGGGTCACTAAGTCTAAAGGAAAGGAAAGTTTGGGCAATAGAAGCTGCAGCCCTTCCAAGGAAAAAAGTCTGCAGGCTTCCTCGGGCAAATTCTGGCTCAGCGAGCTCTGAGCTGGCAGGATCCCACAAGCCACACACACACACACACACACACACACAGTCTTATTCAGCCAGGCAGAGACCGTGAGGAGAGCCTCCATGGGGGGGGGGGGGGGTGCTGAGGTGCAGCACTCCCAAAGCCTTCCCAAAGTAAGCTAGCAGATCCAGGCTTGTCCCCTCTCTCCTTTGATGAGGCACTGGGTGTACACACACTCTGACATGCTGCAACAACAGCCTTCTGCAACTTCTGTCTCAGAGCCTGCCTCCCCCACTGGGCCTCTCGCCTGCTGCCTTAGCAACACAGAAGGGGACCCGGTCAAGGCCCAGAGGGACGCCAGAACAGAAAGCGCCCCCCCCGCCCGCGCATGGCCTCTGGGCCTCTGGGAGATCTGCAGTCAGCAGCCTCCTGACCTTGACTTAGTCCATGTATTGATCAGGAGTAAAGCTGCTCTTAAAAGCCAATCAGCTAAAAGGCAATTGTCCTGCATGCTACACACACACACACACACACACTTGTAGGCCCTAGGTCTTGTGCCTTTGAATCCCCCAAGTTAGCAGGTATGTCAATAGTTCTCCTTCTTTGGCTGCTATCCAACCTTCCTCTCGGTGGGAGTAGAAACCCCTCATTTTGGGGTTTCCTTCAATTAAAAACCTCAAGTGGGCCTTCCGGAGGGGAAGCAGGCAGGATGCTCTGAGAGCGCCCTCTGGTGGCATCTCCCTTATTTGTAGCTGCTGTTCCACCAGGCCCAGATTTCTATTCTGCCGGCCCAACAAGGGAGGGGGAGGGGGGAGGGGGGAGGCCTCTCTATCTCTAGAGCAGGCAAACAAGGGGTCAGAAAGTCTCCTTCATCCAGGCATGGTTGTCCCAGAGGTGCTTTTTCCAAAAAAATACAAAATAAAAAATGAACGGAATGGAAGAAGCTTCTTGGACTAGAAGCGAAATGTTTTCAAAGGGAAAAAAAACCCCAAGAAACTCCGGTTGCCTTCTAGAAAAAGCGCCTTTGGGAGAAGCGGAAAGAGACCACCTGACAGGATCCCACAGCAGCCTGCCTTTGAAACTGGCAATGGGGCGCCTGCCTTCGTTAACGTCCAAGCGCCACCACCTGACCCTGGGAGGCGGCCTCCCACCGGCAGGGCACTCCAGAACCTCTGCCCAAGGTCGGCCACAGCCCCCCTGGGCAAGAGGCGTTCTCTGGGTGTCTCTTCCTCCCATCCAAAGGATGCGGACTGGCACTCGGCCCTGGCTTATCTTCTCAGCGAAACTGCTCATGCAAGCAGGGACTTTGCCCTGCAATTAATACCCACCTGCGAGCCACTTGGCCACAACGAGGGCAGAGGAAGAGGACGATGGGCTGCCTGGGGATCATGCTGCTGCTTGGCCTCACCTTCCTCCTTCAGGTAGGCTTGCTGTGGTGGGTGGGATGCCGGCAGGGAGCAGGGAGACAGATGGCGCAGCTACTGGGGAATGTCCGAGTGCAGAAATGGGTTTTGCTCCTGGACTGACCGTCCCTCTGGAGATCTTGGACTTCAGTTTCCACCAGTCCCTCCCAGCCAGCACAGGCGGCAGCAGGAGAGCATCAGAAGCAGAAATGGGCTTTGGAACTCTCTGAGAAGCCCTACTGAGGGAAGATGCTGGGGCTGGAGAAGGGGACATCAATGAGCTAACATGGAGTTGCGGTTCCGTTCACCCCAAACTGCCCCCTCACCAGCAACAGAGTTTGGGGAAGTCTGGCTGTAAAGTCAGCAGACTGGCTCACCTGTAGTAGTGGCAGAGCAGGCCAGATCCACCATCTTCCCCACCTGGCTCTCTGGGGAAAGAAATGGAGCAGGAGAGACTCCATAAGGATGGGGAAGACCTGCATCTCCAGGCAGCAGGTTCCAAGCGCCAACTCCGGGGAGCCCAGAGGTTGATGTTCTGCTGCTTGGAAAGAAAAGGCCAGCCACGCGGTGGGTTTAATCGAGACCCTGCCTGCAAAGACCACCCGTTCCTTCATTACAAAACCTTGAGAGGAGCTCCGGGCACTAAGATTCAAACTCTAGCATAGGGTCATTGCTGGGCAGCAGCCTCGCCACCAAGAAAGCTTTCACGGAATCATTCCAGAAGGGCTGGCAGGACCAACGCTGGTCCCCCTTCCCAAGAAAGAAAGCCAGGACTCCACAGGGCAACCTCCGAGGCAACAGCAGAAGGTTCGGGGGAGGGGGCTAAGCTGCTGTGTTTGCCAAGCGAATTATTCTTCAACCTTCCTCCCTGAAGGCCCACAGCCCAGTGCCCCATCAACTGCAGGGCCAGGCGTGGACTGAAAATATGCACCCATAGCCTGATGTGTTTCTCTCCTTTAAAACAAACAGAGGGTTTCCTAAGGGTGAAGCAGGGGCAGGAAACTTTAAACTTTACACAGGAGATATTTTCCATGCACTGCAAACACACAGCCTCAGGGAAGAAACCACTACAGACCTGTTAAGTGGTCCAGACCAGGGTTGGAACAGGGTCCCTCCACTTTTCAGGTGCGAAGAGTGGTCTGGCCTAGCTACTTCAAGAGCTACAATGAAATCAAGAGGAAGGATATGCAACGGTGGGAAATGCTTTCCTCCCCCCCCCTCCATCCATGGATCGCGTGTCCCTGCTGAGATGTTTCATCTATGCATGGGGGGGGGGGGTAATTTTCAGCTGGGAGAGGAGTTCTTTCTGCAAGAAAAAAACATGCGATAGATTGTCCCCAGTCAAGCAGAACTTCCTGATCTCTCTTTCCTGGGGTGTCTTTGACCTTCCACCAGGAAAGAAGAACAGAAACTGCTTTCTTGCTCAAAGTCCAGGAAGGTGGAAACCAATAAACCTGAATCACAAAGATTACCTCCACAATCACAGTCACACACACACATCCCCTTTAAGAGAACCAAATCTCTAAACATAAAAAGTTCTACATTGGGAAAGACAAACAGAGGAAAAATGAGGAAGACGACAATCATCTATACAGACTTCCAAGTCAGCCTAACCAAGCCTGTTATCTTTGTATTATTATCTGCTGAAAGATGGTCTTGCTTTTAGCCCAGTTCAGAATTTACTGCAGGGGTGGTGGTTGGAAATAGTTATCTCGGACTTCTGTTTAGGTAAGTGCACGCTGCACTTTTTTCCTGTGGGCTATTCAGTTTCACAGACCAGAGAGGCCGAGTGATCGCCAGCATCCTTGGGAAGACCAGAGAAGGAACACGGATATTCTGGAGCCAGCTCACAAGTGGACCATCCCGCATTCCCAAAAGCTTTCAGTGGCTGATAAAGATGACAGCTAATTTTCATTATTGTGCCACTACGTATATAAATAGGCTTAAATTAAATAGGCAGCTTTCTGGGGGCAAAATAGCCTGAATTCCCTTAAGTAATTTGTCAGATGCTTTAGAGGGCACTCTTGGGTTACACAAAGCTTTGTCACAGCTTCTCTCTGATGTGAAAGCAGGCCGTGTGGTGCGTTGGAGTGAACAGAGAGAAACAGGGATGCAGTCCTGAGGCCAAAAGGTTGCCCACGAGTCAAGCGTGACCCTTGCTACAAAAGGGTCCATTCCTCTTAACGGGCCCGGGGAAGGGGAGCCTTTCTTAGGTGAAGTCTGGACTCCATAATCCCACCTCCTCTTTTACTCATTCTGCCTCTCAGAAGGAAGCCTCCCCCCTCCCCCAATCAAGTCCATGCTGCTCTTTTCGGACTTACCTAGGAAAAAGTCCCAATTAACTGAATGACTTGCTTTATGAAATTAAAGCTTAGAAGCAACAATTCTTTGTAAACACAAGTGGAAGAGAATAAGGGCTGTTTGTGGCAGCACTTGAAGGGCAGAGACCCAGAGGTCAGATGGGCAATTCCAGCTGGAGGAATCCCTGCAGGACCGCAAGAAGCCAACGCTTTGTGGAAAGCCCCCCCCCCCCGTTCATTCCACCCCTCGGAGGTTTCTCTATTTCGCGGTGCTGCTTCAAAGAAGAAAAAGGGCCCCCAAAGGTTGTGGGGACAGGAGAGGGGAGGTTGGCATAGGACAGCCTGGGGGGGGGGGGGGAGTTTAGGCTGCTCCCCATTTTAGCTGTAGCCCCAGAGCAGGAAGCCTTGGGGCAGAGTCTCTCCGCTGGCTTGGGCACAGGCATTTCCAGGGGGCAGCCTCTTCCTCTGCTTTCCCTTACTCAAGAGGGAACCAGAGAGCCCCGTCTTTCTTCGCAGGAGGGTCCGTCTGCTCAGGGGGAGGTGCTGCTCTTCCAAGGATCTGGGCCTGGCCTGAGGCGGCAGAAGAGAGACTGGGTCATCCCTCCGATTCTTTGCTCTGAGAATGAGAGGGGCCCTTTCCCCAAGAACCTGGGGCAGGTAAGGACTTTGCTTCTGCTGGGATTCTCTTGCACCTTTTAAAGTTAGGCAGCAAATGACCCACAAATGCAGGGCCCCAAACATTGCAGCTTGTGGCAGCGCTGGGCACACATTTGCCCTAAACCCCTTGGCTCTCACTTCAGCCGGAGCTCGGGGCCTGCATTTCTGCCCCGGGCCAGGCAACGCAGCTGCCCCAGAGGGTGGGGAGGGCTGCAGGCCCACCCCGGTCCCTGACCCGATCTCCACCCCAATCAGATCAAGTCCAGCAAAGACAAAGAAAGCACCGTCTACTACAGCATCACTGGGCAGGGGGCCGACATCCCTCCGGTCGGCACCTTCATCATCGAGAGAGAAACCGGCATGCTGAAGGTGACCCGCCCACTGGACAGGGAGAGGATTCCCCGCTACGTGGTGAGTCCACATGGCCTGCTGTGGTTATACATGTTGCTTTCAATTTTGGGTGGCTGCACTGGGTGGCGGAAGAGCGCCTGGAAATCGGCCATGGGGATTGGGTGGGAGGGCAAAGGTCATTGCGTCCTCCAGGATGCCAGGACAGCTGGGTCCCTTTTGGGTGGCAGAGGGGTTTCGTCCCTACCAGAAAGCCCGCGAAGGAACCCCGTTTAGAAGCAGGCGACTCTGTTTATTCCTGTCCAAGAAAAGTTCCCGTCTCCTGTCGTGGTGGCCCCAAGGGGCCTGAGGGGCTCCCGGGACCCCCGTCCCAGGCCTTCCGAGGGCATCCCTTGTCCTTCGGGGCAGCCTCTGCAGAGCTGGCAGCGCTGGGTGCCAAGGACTGTTGAGCTCTGTGAAAGAGGCTGCCTGGCTGCATCTCTGGCTTCTCTTCTCACCCCTGGTGAATAACGGCCTTTCTCCCCTGCAGATGTTTTGCCACGCGGTGTTAGCCAATGGCCAGACAGCAGAGGACCCCATGGAGATCATCATCAATGTTGGCGACCAGAATGACAACCGTCCAGTGTTCACCCAGAGCGTCTTCGAAGGGTCCGTGGAAGAGGGAGCTAAACCAGGTAGGGGAGTCTGGGTGAGGACACAAGACCCTGGATCCTGTTGCGTGGCTGCCCTCTGTGCCACAGGCACAATCCCTCCAGGACAGGGAAGGACAGTCCTGTCGAAGCCCTCCAGACCGCCCCCTCAGGCCAATGCCCGCCCAGCCATGCCCCTGTGGGATTAAGCAGACAGTCTCTGTGACAGCTGGGAGGCGCGGAGGGAGCTGGGCTCATGCTCGACTCCGGCGCTTGTTTCAAGGGAGCCCCTTTAAGCAGCCCTCCTTCCCCAGGAACGTCGGTGATGACAGTGACGGCCACGGATGCAGACAACGCCATAGACTCCTATAATGGCGTCATCACTTACTCCATCCTCAGCCAGGAACCGGAGCCGGAAAAACAGATGTTCACCATCAGTAACGAAACAGGCCTGATCAGCGTGGTTGTGTCCGGTCTGGACCGAGAGGTGAATGCCGGGTGTTGGGACAGGTTGGGGGGGGGAGGGGCCCAAGCAAACCTTTTCTAAGATGGGAATTAATCGGGGAGGTGGGCTGCATCTCTGTCGTCCATTTTCTACTGCTTCAATCCCAAGTGAGCCAGGGAAGAATCCTTGTTTGGCCCTGAAGGGAGAGATTGTTAGCTCTCCAAGGCAGCCCAGGCAGAAGCAGAACTGTGTGAGGGCTACCCACCCGCACAGACAATTGCAGTGTTTGGTTCTTTGCAGAGGATCCCCCAGTACACGCTAGTTCTGCAAGCGACTGACCTGCTGGGAGAAGGCTTGAGCACCACCGCGAAGGCTGTGATCACCATCACCGACGCAAATGACAACCCGCCAATCTTCGATCCTTTAATGGTAATGTGGGAGCCTGCCCCCTCCCACCCTTGGCCATGCTGGGGTTGCCCTGGGGCCTGAAGGCCATCTCCCTGTCATGCAGAAGCACCCAGCCGTGTCCTGCACTTCCTCTGCAGAGGCGCTGGGCGGGATTTGTGGCTCTCCGTTCCCTGGAGTCGGACCTCCCCCCACCCCGGTGGAGACTGGCCCTTGCTCCCCTCTGACGGCTCTGTCTCCTTTCAGTACAATGCGGTTGTGCCAGAGAATGAGGTGGGGGCCCTGGTGGCCACCCTGAAGGTCAGTGATAAAGATGAGGAGAATAGCTTAGCTTGGAAAGCCAAGTACAGCATCGTGAAAGGGGACGAGGAGGCGAACTTTGCGATCACTACAGACCCGGACACCAACAATGGTCTTTTGACCACGGCCAAGGTGAGCGGTGGGCCCCTCTTTGTGGGGGCTAGAATCCTGCGTGTCCCCAGCCCCATATCCCACTGGAGTGTCCGGCAGTTCCACTTAGGCCAAGTCAACCCTCCTTTTCTACCTCCTTCTGTCCTTCCAGGAACTGGATTATGAGACCCAAAGGCAGTATATTCTCCAAGTGACCGTAGTAAATGAGGTTGACTTCTCGGTCATTCTCTCGACGTCCACGGCCACCGTCACCGTCAATGTGAGCGATAAAAATGAACCCCCAGTCTTCATTCCCCCCAGCCCCTCTCGGCAGGCCCGCAGCAGCCTCCTCCCAGGCAGGGAGGGGGCCGCGAGGGTTGAGAACAAGCTCTGCCGGGGAGGGAGGAGCTCACGCGGGGGCTCTCTGCTTGGATCCAGGTTGCCAACTCCGGCGAGGGCCATCACACTTCCCTGAGCGTCCATGCGCTGAATGTGCTCACTGGCCTCCCTGCCACTGGCCTGGCCGTGCACCTCTCTCAGCTCCGAGACTCCAATCAGGCCTGGATGGAGCTCATGACAAGGTGGGGAGATGGGGGAGCCCCCGCCTCCCTTGGCCAGCTGGGCGCCCCACAGCCTCACCCGGCTGCCTTCTGATTGCAGCGCGACCAGCACGGATGGGCGCATGGACAAGAGCCCGCTGGCCTCCGTGCAGCTGGAGAGTGGCACCTACAAGCTGCGCTTTGCCACGGGGGAGTACTGGCAGCAGCAGGGCCTCAGCAGCTTCTACCCTTACGTGGAGGTCAGTTTTCGCTTCAGCTGCACAAGAGGGAGGGAGGGAGGGAGGGAGGGAGGGCGGGCGGTAGGGCGGTCCTCCTGTTGCCCCCCCCCCCCCCGCCCGCCCCCCACTGACCAACAACGGAAAGGGCCAGCCTCTCCCTCCCTGCCAGCCTGGGGCCTTTCTTCCGCAGCTGGGAAGGTCCCCCTGCTGAGCCCCAGAGGTCCAGCAATTCTTCACCTTTCTTTTTGCAGGTTGTCTTCACCATCACAAAGGCCGAACGGAAGGTGCACGTCCCGCTGCTGCTCAGCCCCTACTCCTACGTAACCTACCGGGGGAGCTAGTGCCAGAGCTGCGGCTTCCCTCAGGGCGGGGCTGCTGTGGGATCCTGGGCCGTCCAGACGGGGCTGCCCCCGAGGCCAGCTGTGACGCTACTCAGGGCGTGCCTAATAAAAGATCTACCTTGAAGGGGTGTCACGAGGGTAAATCAAAGATTGCTGCGCTTCAGCCGTTTGTCTGACATTTACAAAAAGGGCCCTTCAGACTTTAATACAAAAGGCAGGCAGGTGAGCCCAGTCTCTTTTCTGGGGGGGGGGGGCTTCCTCCATTGACCCCCCAAGCTGCAGGAGCATTGGCTTGACTCGTCTCGTCTTCTGAAGAGCTCTGCTAGGTGGGGGTGGAGACGAATCCTGCAGGGCCCTGCCCAAGGGTGTGTCCCAGCATGGAGGTCTCCAGGGGTTTGAAGCCCAGGTTGTCCAAGGGGATCCCGAAGGAGGTGAGCTTCGCCTCGTACGTTTGCAGCAAGTCGTTGTGTGCCTGCGAGGGGAGAGGCCAGAGGAGGAGCTGGGGGCCCCCCTTGGGAGCCTGCCTTGCACAGCCCGTGCTCTCAACTGCAGGCCTGGGCTGGGGGGGCCCTCCGGCCAGGCTTCCCCAGGAGGCAGCTCTGCAAGCATGGGCCACTGTCTCCCCCTCCCCGCCAAACTGGAAAGGCTGCAGTCCAACAGGTCTAGAGGGAGACGCCCTGGCAGCAGGACCCCGAATACCGCAGGGCTCAATGGATGCGACAAGCAGAAGCGGCTTCCCCAGCCAAGGACCTCCGGATGCCCCCTGGCTCTGGTGCTGCAGCAGGGAGTGTCTGGGGTGGCCTCCCCCAAGCCCCTCAGCGAGGCTCCTCCCACTTGCGCCTCTTACCTTGCAGACTCTGGCCAGCTCGTACTGGAGGTCTTTGATCGCGTTGTTCTTGGAATCCAGCACGTCCTGCGGAGGAGAAACACAGGCCTGTTAAAACCGCACTCAGGACACCAGCTCCAAGGCAGCTTTTGTGGTGCTGCTGACCGGTGTGTGTGTGTGTGTGTGTGTCCCTAACCTTTCCTTCCCGTGCCCTTCCCCCACCTTGCGCCCTCCGCTTTGGAAGCCAGAGTGAGGCTGACTTGCCCCCAAGAAATGGGGGAAGGAAAGCTCTGCAACCCAGAGCAGGTCTGAGCGGCTCAGCGCCGGATCCAGTCCGGGCATCCGGAAAGTAGCAGCCGAGCAGCAGCTGAGCACAAGAAGGCAGAGGGCTTGACCACAAAAGCAGCTGCTGGAGGGAGGGAGGGCAGGTCCCAGGGAGGGGTCTGCTAGGATGCACCTCCCGTTACTGGCGCCGACAACGGTGCCTGGAGCGCCTAAGAGGCTCACTAAACAGGGTCAGGTGGCTGAGATACCGACTTCCACCTTCTGGCCAGGCTGGAAATTGGCCAGCAGTACCGTTTCAGGCAGCTGCATCTGATTTCCAGAGGTTGGGTGGGTCCCGTACCTCCAGCTTGTGGGTGACCACCGTGAGAGCGCTGGGATCCAGATTGGAGGCAGCCAACACCTCGTTCAGCTGCACTTCCTTCTTCTCCAGGAGGCTGGCGAGGCCAATCAGCTTCCGCTCCAGCAGCAGGTTCTTGAAGCCAGTTTTCTGCTGTACCTCATTAATGGCTTTGGTGAACTTCTGGTACAGGTCATCACGCTCGTCCTGAACCTGTGGAGACAAGTCAGCAAGGCAACATCCCTCTGAAGTCAACAGCAGAGAGCACTAAGCGATTTCCAGCATCAGGTTGTGTGCCTGTTATTAAGGAGGCCCAGCGCCCAGACAGAAGGCAGGTAGGGAAATATCAGCGGAAGGAAGAACGGCAGGAAACGTCCTCAGCATCTAAAGCGCGAGCCTGAAGGCAAGTGGGGCTGAGCGGGAGAATGCAGAGGGTTGACCTACCTCCAAGCAGTTCTCAACCTATGCCAAGCGTGCCAGCACGCAGTGGGGGGGTGGG